GCCCTCGCTATCACTTCATCTTCTTCCCTGTTCCCTCAGTCGGTTCTCAAAGCCGTACCACACGTAGTGGACGTCTAATGCATTATCATACGTCACCTACGCATTTTACTTTACCATAACTCCTGGGCGTCGCTTCACGCCGACACCCAATCTAAACAATATTATTTTTAAAAAGGTAAGAAATTTTGCAAAGTTTTATAGAATGAACTCGTTCTCGTCTGCCTTGCGCATGTGAAATTAGCAAAAACCACTGACTTAGATCAGTTTAATCACTATAGCGCAAAATATTAGCAAATTGCTGGCACCATTTTTATCATTGCCTTATTGGAGGACACTTTTGTGAAAGGACACCTGGCCTCCAATCCGGAAAGTGGAAGTATGATAGATGTCGCAAGGCAATAGTCCTCAGCCATCGAAGTGGATAACCCATACCAGGGAAAAGCTCAAGTTTGGACTGGCGTAAAATTTATCTTTACTGATCATGTTAGAACCCAGCTGCGGTTGTCACCACGCCATCAAGTGCAGAATGACAGGACTGTGAGGAGGATGGAGCGTCTGGCGGACTCATCCTGTGACAAGGTTCAGGCGAAAGTGGATGGTCGTTGAGTTGTTGTAGGCTGAGGCTGAGGCACGGGCTGGGAAGTTTCCGATATGGACACGTGATATGAATTCAGGGAGGAAAGTTTACTAAATGCCTACAAGGACGGAACAGGTGTGACTAGGTGTATGGCACCATTTTCGTTCTGTCTGCATCGTCGACAATTGAAGGGAGAAATTCACATGAAGAAGGATTCACCCGAGAAGCGTACGAAGGATGTCATCAACAACAGTGATTCAAGGAAAGCGACAATGGGGCTAGTGTGAACGATGGATGGATTGGGGGAGGCGGGACAAAAGGCCGTAATTGAGCAAACGAGGTTGTTGACGGTATCGAAGATCTAACCAGAGAAAGGGCTGTGACGGTTTTCAGAAGGACGTGAAAGGACCTTGGTCTGGGCCGCAATATCA